AATAAATTTGTAATAAAATGTAAAATGTTCCCAACATAAAGTAGGGAAAAGCATGGTAGGGAATTAAATTTAGCATGAGCTTCTCTATATAAAATATATGTTTTGCATAGAAAAAATTTTTGTCATTCAAAAGTTTCACTCAGCTGACTTATAGGTAGTGAGCTTGTGAATAATGACTCATCTTTTCTGCAATAGGTATGCATTTCATAATTATAGGTATGCATTTCATAATTAGGGAAAACATAATTAGGGAAAAGAAATAACAGACGAATTAAAACAAGAATAGAAAGGCATCTTCTAAGGAGAGTCACATGGAGAGAAAACATTCTCTCAGGCTTTCACTGAGAGCAAATTGGTCAAGCAATGGCCATGACTCATCCACATGGCTGACACTGACAAAGGATCTACAAATTGCAGTACAGGGTAACAGGATAAATCCTGAGGGGACTTGACTGACCTTATCAGATACAAAAGTTACATTTCTTGTTATATAGGTCTTGCTTTATCTTGATCTTAACCATCCAGCAGAAAAGTATAAAAATGAAGTATAAAAAGTAAAGCCATATTAATATGCTAAGCTGTGAAAGGCTCAAGTCAACAACTTCAGACATTGCTAGTCCTATGGAAAACCTACTACTATTATGGACTACTGGACTATATCAGATTATTTTGCTGAATTCATGCACCTACAATATTTAAATGGCAATGGAATACCCATCTCTAACAAAACTAAACAAAAAAAGGGTATACAAATGAAAGACCATTTTGTATCTGTATGTACAAAATAGGATAGGTACACAGCTACTTTCTCAATTCAATGAGAAGAAAGAAAGATTTGTACTAATAATATATGGACAGGATATCATGTCTATATCTTGTACTATGAATTACTAAGAAGATAACAATATGTAATGTATTAATTATTGAAACTGTCCTATTCATTGGTTTTGAAACTATCTCATTGCTATCTGTTTCTCAATAAAATTAAAGAGAAAAGAATAGAAAGGCATCTTATACTTCTGTAGACATTTTAAAATTTAAATCTCAATTATAACTTTATTTTAATGCAATCTCTGGGGTATGCACAGTTATAGATGGGACCTAATTCTGCTGATAGTTTTGCTAAATAAGCTTTTCCTGGTGAGGCCTGTCACAGGCCCATAATTGCAATGAATCCTTTGCTTCATCTGCCTTCAGTGGGCTGTGTCTGTGTCTTCACAGGTGGAGTGACTCGGATGACTGTTTCTCTTGTTGTCATAATGTTTGAACTGACTGGTGGCTTAGAATATATTGTTCCTCTGATGGCTGCAGCTATGACAAGCAAGTGGGTAGCAGATGCTCTTGGGCGGGAAGGCATTTATGATGCCCATATTCGTCTCAATGGATACCCCTTTCTTGAAGCCAAGGAAGAGTTTGCACATAAGACCCTGGCAATGGATGTGATGAAACCCCGGAGAAATGATCCTTTGTTAACTGTCCTTACTCAGGACAGCATGACTGTGGAAGATGTAGAGACCATAATCAGTGAAACCACATACAGTGGCTTCCCTGTTGTAGTTTCCCGGGAGTCCCAAAGACTTGTAGGCTTTGTCCTTCGAAGAGATCTCATTATTTCAATTGGTAAGAACTCAGAAAGGGAATAATGAAATAAATATGCATGAAGTTGGGGGAAAGAGAGGGAAGACAGTACTGGTTAAGGGCCAGAAAGGTAGAGCTAACATTTCTATTTTCAACTTTTTCCCTTCTGTTCAAATAGAAAATGCTCGAAAGAAGCAAGATGGAGTTGTGAGCACATCCATAATTTACTTCACTGAGCATTCTCCTCCAATGCCACCATACACTCCACCTACCCTGAAGCTTCGGAACATCCTTGATCTCAGCCCTTTCACTGTGACTGACCTTACACCCATGGAGATCGTAGTGGATATCTTTCGCAAGCTGGGACTACGGCAATGCCTGGTTACACACAATGGGTGAGGACTCTTGGGGAAAGGCAAACTGGACTGTTGGAGATGAGAAAATGTGGAAGCAGAAAGAAAAACCCTATTTAAGTGAACATTAGTAGTACTTTTAGGCTTTTTGAAGTTCTAAGATGAAGATTCATGTATTTTTTTTATCATAATTAATAGAAAAAGACGACTATGTTTGAGAAATATCCACTGGTATTTTATATTTATAGTTCCTTTCTTACAAAGGAAACTGCTGTGTTATGCACAGGCAGCACTGAAATGATAATGGTATCAGTGGCATATGTATATAGTACAGTTGTCTCCCATTATTGTTGGGATATAGCTTCTAAGACAACCATGGGCTACCTGAAAGCCATAATGTCTTTTCTGTACATACATATCCAGGATAACTAAATCAGGCACAATGAGAGATTAACAACAATAAATATAAAATAGAACAGTTATAACTATATATAATAAAAGTTAGATGAATGTTCTCTCTGTCTCTGTCTGTCTCTATCTGTGTATCTATGTGTCTGTCTGTCTGTCTGTCTGTCTGTCTGTCTGTCTCTCTCTCTGCTTCTCTCAATAGCATATTGTGCTATACTATGTTTCTGGACCATGATTAACCATGGATAATGAAAACCATAGATAAGAGGAGACTATTGTATTTTACCCTTACAGTTCATTTTTTGCTTATTATTGGAGGACAAGAAAAGCAAGTTTCAGTGAGGTCTAATGATTTACATGAATATTGTTCGTTAAAAAATAGCACAGCAGGAATACTTTACTTTCAAATGCTCCCTACTCATCCAGAGTAGCTATCTGTCATCTCTATCTTTCCCCTTTTTCTCCACCTTCAAGTAAATCATCTTCTCTTAGTTTAAAAAAAAAGCAGAGCTAGGCTTTAAAAAATAGTCTCCTGGCTTCCAAGCTTAAGTCTCTTTCCTTCCTGGGCTAGTTCTTATCTAGTTTAAAAAAAAAGCCCTGCTATTTTAATTGGAAAGGAGGGAAGGTTCATGAGAAGGGTGGAATTCTTCTGAACGTGCTATTTGTTAACTAGCAACTATGCAAAAATTTCCCCTCCTTTAAAACTTTGAAGTAGTATAACAGATGTCTTGTAGGATTTAAATCACTAAGGGGACTTTCCCTAACTGGTTTGTTCAGCATGTACTGAATCCTTACTCATGTAAGAAGCTGTTCAGCTGGACTCTAAGGAAATATGAAAAGAAGTAAGACCTTTCTCTCCCCTCAGAGAACATATAGCATTATAGGTAAAACAGTAACACACAAGTGGCTACAGGAAGCTAGCTAAGAGGACAAGTGCTGCAGAGGAAGCACGCACATAGCATGCTGTTGCTGGCAGGAGGGCAGAGTGATTGCTGGCTTGTAGGGTTAAGGCAGATTCTGGAAGAGGGAGTATTTAAATTGGACTGCAAGGGCCGGCGGTATAGCTCAGCGGACTAAGCGCTTGCTTAGGTAAGCGCAGGGGCCAGGGTTCAATACCTGGCTCCACCTGTCGCGCCGGCCCCGCCTTTGGGTGCGCTGAGCTGGCGATGGAGTCCGGGCGCAGTGGCGCGCGCCTGTAATCCCAGCACTTGGGAGGCAGAAATCAGGAGGATCACTACTAATGTGGGCTATGTAGTGAGACCCTGAGCAAAAAAAAAAAAAAAAAAGATAAATTGGACTGCAGTTAGGTAGGGAAGATTTATATATGTAAAGAAGAATATTTAAATTAGAGGAAATTTGCACAACACAAGACCCAGAAGTAGAAACACACACACACACACACACACACACACACACACTCTGGAAGTGCAGATGCCATAGTATTTAAAGACATCACTAGAAAAGACTGAGGAACACAAGGGTCAAATCAGGGAAAGTTGTTTAAATTGTAGATTTATTGTTCTTTCATATTGTGTCTTTTAGGCGATTGCTTGGAATCATTACCAAAAAGGATGTGTTAAAGCACATAGCACAGATGGCAAACCAAGATCCGGATTCCATTCTCTTCAACTAGAATCAGGGTTCTTCTGGATAAAAAACGGGAAGGACATTGCAGATCATGGATATATTTTATTAACTGGGTACCCAAAACACATTTCCCATATTTGGATGGTGAAGTCATATTAGTGTGTTGTCTCTTTCCTTCAAGTTAACCAGTTGCACTACATAATCTGGAAATTAATCTTCTCGTTAGGAGAAAATATGGTTAAGCTTCTGATATATTGCATTAGGAAGATCTCATGAAAGAGTATAAATAAGATTGCTATGGTTTATATTTTTAAATGATTTTTTTAATTTAAAAAATAATTGTTAGCCAATATGCAATCACTGAAAACTATGCAAGAAAAATTCCAACCGTCCCGATCCATAGTCTGCAGGAAACTTATGAAAAAAGTCACTTTTGGGGGAATCTGTCATGGGTGGAAGATGAAGTGTAAACTAAGGGGCTTTGCTTTTCAAACCATAGAAAAGAAAGCCAGAAGGAAAATAGTGATGGTATTTTTTAGACTGTGAAGATTCAGTTCAAATATTATCCTTGTTCCTGTTACAATATTTAGCATTATTGGTTTGTTATGTTTTTATGTATATGTTAATTTTAATTTCTGATTATAAGACCATGCTGCTTTGGTTAATCTCCTCTAAATTACTTTAGAGAGGTTGACTTTTATAGCTTGCTTGTTCCTGGTACTCTTTTGAAGTGCACAACGATAAGTTATAGAGCTTTCTTCTTGTCTGCAAATGGTCCAGATGGTTTTTGTTAGCTAATAGACAAGGACTTTGCCATGAATTTATTAGTAGCAAGGGATGATTTCTTTCAGCTTCCTTGAAATGAATGATAAGTAAAGTTCTAAGCAAAGCCAACGACTAGGAATTTCACATTTTTGTGAGGTCCTAACTCATCCTCTTACTCAGATGCCACCTCCACGGATGATGGTGCTTTATGCTTCTGGAATACTTAAGAATAGTAAAGGGAACCAAGTCTAGACTGCATACTGGTAAACCAGGGAAGATTCAGAGCTGCATCAGCATCGTCATGCATTCCTTTGTAAACACTACCAGTACTAAAATAACAGCATTCATGTTCCTCTCAGCATCAAGTACATATAACAGGCCAATGTTGTCCCCTTGAGCATGAACTAGGATTGAAATACTTTCAGGTATGTTCAAGGTGTTGGAACAGAGTAGGCAACTGTGACTTGAATGCAGAGCCATCCAAGACCTGGGGATATGGACAAGGCCTGGTGACACCAAAGGTGCTTGTATCCACTTGAAAAGGTGCCTGTCTCAATTTTCTACCACCCTTACTGCAGTTAAAAACAAATCACACAATAGAGACACCTGGTGGAATTAAAGCGCCACCACCATCATTCCAACCACTATTTCATTGTCTGTACTTTTACTTATGTGCAATTATTCCTCATCCATTCGATTCCTCTTCTTCCTTCGTTCTGTTCTTCAGTCCTGAATCCTCAGATTGAGCACTAGGCCTGGTTAATAATTACTAGTAACAAAAAAAAATACTAGGGCTAGCTGAATTATAAAGCAGGGCTCAGCAATCTTAATAGCACGTGGACTGTAGGTGTCACATAATGCCTTTATTTGTCATGTGGCTTGTTGCTGTTGCCCTGCCCCATTGCTGCCCCAGATGCCCATGGCAAGGAAGCTCCATTTTCAGGGAGGAGAATTCAACCATGCTTATTTTAGAAATCTGTCCTAGCACTTGCCCCAGAATCACCAGTCATTTGGCACAATCTCCCATACTCCCTAAACAACACAGTGTACCTCATTTCAAAGTTGTTGCTTTCCAAACCTAGGACTTTTTATCTTTCCAAAACCTGAAATTCTTTTATCTCCCAGAGCTGAGTTAGCCAAGTTTATTTTTTTTAAATTTTTAGCTTTTAGCAATGGAGGCAGTCACCAGAGTTCCTTCTTTTAAGTGTATCTCTCTAGCATTTTAATGAAAAAGAAGAAAATACTCCAGGGTGTGTGGTGTTCTAGTCACAGCTCAGTATCTTTATGCCTTTTGTCCCTTCCATGCCACTTATTCTTTCTTATGAGATGAGACTCTGCCTGACTGACCAACCTGTATATTATATAGAGATCAAAGTTATTTGCATATTTCTGCTTCTATATCCATCTTATTAATCATCTTTCCTTATTAAAGTTTGCAAAACAAGAAATGTTACTATTACTGATATTTAATGGCAAGGGAAGATTTGGACAAATTTCATAGTCCAGCAGTGACATGAAAGGTGTCTTGTTTGCCTTTGTGTTTTTTCTAGGTTCTGTTCTTGATTTCAGACAGATGAGCCAGTGCTAAGGTGCTACTTCAGAGAATTAATTTAAAAAATCAGATAACACTGTGCCAAGGTGTACTTTCTAGATACTAAGCACCGATTGCCCCCCACCCCCAGAGAATGACAATATCCCTTTGATACCTCACTCCTCATAAATCTCATTCATTAACCTCAGCTTCTCAGGAATTCTTGTAGCTTGTACACTAGAAGTAGCTGCAGTGTATGGGGGTACTATATGTTCAATCCTATGGTTTGACTTCAAACTATGGCTTATTGTCCTGGAGCACTCTACAAGACTGCTAGCTCAGCACCTTAACATAAACAGTTTCTTGTATTGAAGAAGAAAGACAAGCTTCTCATCCTGAAGGAAGATATGCTTCCTGCCATTGTCATTTCAGCAGTTAAACATACCTAATCCAAAAGAAAAGTCAAAACAGGGAGGTCTGTCCAAAGCCTCAACTGGTCGCATACCTCACTGGCAAAAGTCTAGATAACTTATGATTTTAAAATGAATGAATAGAGACTAGACTATTTTGGTACTAGACTAGAAAATTACACAACACAGGGAAGGGTTTACAAAAGAATGCCAATAGGTACTTTGACAGAGTTTGGATTTTCCAAGGAAGAATATTTGGTCACCATCCAGCCACAAAATGAATCAGAGTGTTAAGTCTGACTCCTATATTTTAGATCTTCAGATCTTCAATGTAAAGAATGTAAGAAAGCTGACACAATGAATGTATAATGAGAAAAAAGTGGAAGAAGCAGAGGGCTAAAATACCAAATAATGACTATGTTAAAGATCATTTCTATTGTGAAATTTGGCTAGAAATGAATTGCAGCACTATCTTCCTCTGGCTCCAGCATCCTGGCTCAGCCCAGCTGTAGAGTAGAGGTGATATCTGTAAAATAGATATCCTCTGGTGAATTACTTGAAATTGACTTTGAATTTGCCAGCTGGCGTAGCAAATGATTCATTTGCTGATTGAAGAGCAAAACAATTGAATTGTTTTGGCACCAAAGGCTGAATCTAAAACCTTTGTAGGAAAGTGGAGTCCTTTTTGTAAGATACATCCTCCAGATATGTGGGCTGTACATTAGTGTTTGAATTTTTTAACCACTTCCGGGATTTCCTGGATTTCCTTTGGGGAGGGAGTTGAAAGTGATGGCAATAGATAGGCCCAGGTAAGAAAATGTATGAACAATATAAAATGGTCCAAGGAAAGGCATCCCATACCCCTTGTCATGCATCCTGGCACTGAGATGTATAGAAACTACTTGAGAAACTACTTGATCATGTGCCTGGGGCAAGAGCAAGTCAAATAATCCCCTAAGGCCAGGCTTTTGAAGGAAACCAGAGGCTCAAAGCCCTGTGCAGTTCAAAGGCAGTCTGGTTTCATAGAGAGGACTGATTCCCGGGTATTTGCACAGAAGGGAATGTGGTATCTAAATGATAAACTTTCTTTACCTTTGTATTTTTAACCTCCCCACAAATGTCTTTATTATATACTGAAATGGAAAAGGTAAGAATTGTTCAGATCAGAGTTCTAGAGCTGTGTACATTTGAAGCTCAGTCGGCACTATGGACTTGAATTTTGTTCGCCTTCAGTTCCAGTTGTTCACTCCAAGGAGAAACGCTCTGGGAAAAGTTGGTGTGAGCAAATTGAAGTCACTCTCCCAGCATTTGCTGGCTGCATTCTCATTTCTACACATCTGGATTCTGGCAGTTTTGAAAAGATGCAGGGGGAAAAAAGTGATTTTTCCATGATGTATTCTATATAGCTTGATTTTGCCAAATCACAAAAGAAAAGGAAGGAGAAAAAGAAACAAACCAAGCAAGCAAGCAAGTGATATGCTGAGTTTGCATTTCGTGTATGAGACTTCTTAGGCCACCCGGCCCAGTCTTGCAGTCATAATTCCTACCTCTAAATTCCTAAGTTCCTACCTAAATTCCAGCCTACCAGTGGGTCTTCAGCTTCAGTGTGTATTCACTGAATGAATATACCTTGCCTAAAGTTTGACTATTACAGCATGTGATATAAAAATGTGAGGGTTTATTAAATACAATCATTGCCTCTCCCCTTAATCTCCTTATCTTCCTTTCCCTCAACCATGCTCTGAATCCAAATTTGTCTCCACTTTCACAAACCTAGTGTCTTGAATGTGTACCTTGCAAGAGAAGGAGAGGATGCTGCTGAGAAGAATGAAAGCTCCTCCTGAGTGAATGGGGCATTAACATTTTGCTCTACTATAGGAGTTAAAGCCAGAGATGGTATTGAGAATATCAAGGGTTTTGGCATTGTAAGGTAGACCTAGGAAATATCCATTGCTAAACTTTATGTTATTTACTAATCCCAATCTGTTGGAATTCAGAAGCAGTCTAAGATTTGGTGAGGGAAATGCAATTTAGCAAAATGAGGAAGAAGGCAGGGCCTGTAATGACATTCATGAGGGTAGGAATAGTCAGCCTCACTATCATATTGAGGGTACCTCAGAATATATGATCCTTCCAGAGTTCTCCTTTGCCCTTACCCACTTCACTTTGCCACCCTTTTACCTTCCTTCCCCAGTGGTGTCCTGCCTTTTTAGTACTCAGCTTTTTATTTTATAT